GTAGATAAATCATGATATAATAAACATAAACTCAAAACCGTCATGTGGTAATGCTGTAATTAATGAAGAGGAATCTGCGAGTGTGAAAAAAGAGAACAAAAACTGGGATTCAAACCCGGGACCTTCTGCTGTCTATGCATATGCCTCAATCAATTGCCATCGAGGCTTTATTGGAAATTTAAATTCAATTAAGGTAACTAATTCTTTGCATTCTCAATCCTGGTCTATATTTAGGAAGTCGTATCCATAACATAATATAGCAAATTTTTAGTGTGACGATTTATTGTGAGGAATGAGAACTTGTATAGCATCAAAATTAAAAAGCAGGTATAATACACTATTTACCTCCATGGTCATTGAATTACAGTTGATTCTGAGTACAAACTATTCGGCCGGGCCCCGGAAGCTTCAATTTTATAGAATGCACTATCTGTAATCATCCATGGGGAAGTGTATTAATAAATGCTACAGTAAAGTGGCTTGTTGAAAGTTTATAGAACTCAACATTTACTATTCAGAATACTGATATCAGTAGCTAATCACCTTTATGGTACACGGACATTAAAACATTTACAAATCCCATTTTCATGTTTATCGTTTCCTTTTGAGCTAATTTCCAAAAGTGGGAATTTCCGCATAAGAAATAATTCAACATTGCCCATCCCACAAATAATCAGTGGCCACTGGAGCATTCATAATTATTTATCCAACATTGTATGTGAGCCTATCTCAGTCACAAGAACTTTAAAAGGTAAAACTAGACTTATATATCTGCTTGTAAAACAGAACATAGCTCTTTTCCTTATTGACATAATGAGAATTGATGTTGAAATTACTAAGTCAAAAAAAGTCCTTAAATAAATTATGAAGTAAAAAGTATATGAAAAAAAAATCATAATACAGAGAATTATTAAGCAAAATAAAAGCTATGGAAACTAACTCCATGTCATTGAGACTCAAACAAAAGCTGCAATGGTAATAAGGAGAGAGATGTGGAGAATTCCAACCATTAAGCAAAAGAACCCAAACCTGGGGGTGGGGGAATCAGTGCATTTTTAGTTCATCTACCTTGTGTAATGTTACAAGTTGAGGATGAAATTATTTCATGCATTTTACAATAATTTTGTGTTTTAACATAGCTGTAACTAGTTAACGCTTTAGAAAATGCAAAGTGCATTAACATAAACACTGAATTAATATTCAAAACATGTAGCATGGTGTCATATTTTAATGCGCATCTTTGATGTATACTCTTTGCTTGGACCATGCTTGGACAATGTTTTAAAGAAGATCCAATCACGAAAAGTGAAAAACCCTGAGCAAAATGATAGGAAAACTGAATATAAGAAAAAAAATATCAACAAAAACAATGGCTTTAGTGCTATTGTCTGAAAAGCCAATTCCTATTTTGTTGTACTTCTTGTTAATATAGATTAGACCTATGTCCACAATAAGTACTGAGTAATGATCTATACTAGGATATTAACATATTAGTATTAAGCAGTATAAAGTTCAACCTACACAAGGGGACACCTTATCCCAGGGGCTTCGTTCACTGGTCCCATTCCATCGGTTGTTATCTGCATTCACAATTGCTCATTCCATTATGAAGATATAAAAAATGATAAAAAATCAACAATGTTTGACTTACCATAAAAAATTAGACAGCTGATTTTTTTTCCCAATGCCATGGCATTTCCCCCTGGGTCCTAGCCTGTGCCCTCTGTGCAGAAGTCCCTTGAAACACACAGTCTGTCATTCCTCTTTGACACCAACTTCAATCTTGCCTTATATGTCGAGATGCTGCCTCTCTCATTGAGGGAATTCTGGTGTTGATAACTTTTTTTTTTTGTGGAATAATGATGAAAGGGGGGAAACATGAATAGACACCATGGAGCTTTGCTGAGTGCCAATCAAATATAACAACTGGCCAATCAAAACAGGGCCAAGAGTATCACAAACACACACATGTTGTCCCATAAATGCACCTGTTTGCGTCTGTTTTACTTTACTTTTTGGGACCTCAGCAACAATATCCAAGGAGGTCAGGCTTACCTGAACAGTCCATTTTTTTAATTATTTGGATTTAAATTTATAATTTTTGTATTGTTTCTGTTAATCTTTTTATGCATTTGTTTTGAATGAATGTAAGGCTTTCTAATGATGGCAGTGGCAAGATAGAAGAGGGAATGTGGGGGTAAAGAAGAATAAATTATTCATTTTAAAAATGTATTATATAACTTTTGTTTTGTATTGTATAATATTTAAAAATATACACTTGATTTTTTTTTTCTTCCCGAATGCACTGTCAAATGTTTGCTAGTGTCATAAAAGTATAGCTAATAAATTATTATTACCGTGGAGATCAGCTAATTTGTGCTTTTGACGAATGTAATTCTAAGTTATCATCATCATCATCAGCTGCAGCAGCAGCTAAGTAGTTGTAGTATAATTATTATTATTAAAAATAAAATGGATATGAAAGATGTTTCTGGTATTAAATTATCCATAGTATAATATAGCAAATGTATGGTGTGATGTTTTAGTGTGAAGAATTATTTGCCGTAAGTGCGCAATTTTTTTTTTCTTCCCAAATACACTGTCAAATGTTTGCTAGTGTCATAAAAGCATAGCTAATAAATTATTATCCTGCGGATCACCTAAATTGGTATTTTGACAAATGTAAGTCTTAGTTATTATTATTAGTATTATTAGTAGTAGTTTATTATTAGTAGTAGTAGTAGTATAATTATTATTATTAAAAATAGAATGGATATAAAAGATGTTTGTGGTATTAAATTATCTATAGTATAATATAGCAAATGGGTGTGATGTTTTAGTGTGAAGAATTATTTACCGTACGAAGTTTTTGGAGGCTTCAGTGCAGGGCTTATTCGAGAGTGGTGCTTATAAAAAAATATTGTTCTTTCCATGCCCATTTCCATGTTATCTATATCGCATATGCCCATAGTTCAGTAGGCTTATCATAGGTCCTACATCATTGTAAATGAACGTTTGACAGGGTAATATATACTCTCGATTAAGCGCTGCTGCACTTAGTTTTAGCTCAGCTAAAAAAATCAGGTTTGGTGTTGCACTTATTCAAGTATTTACGGTTCCTCCATTAACATGGAATTATATTCTGAGTACAACCTATTCGGCCAGGCCCCAGAAGTTCCAGTTTTATAGACCACATATCTATAATCATCCATGGAGAAACAATATATTTTACAGTTGAGTGCTATAGTCAAGTGGCTTGTTGAAAGTTTATAGAACTCGTACTTCTAAAGTACTACGGATCTTTCATAGTTACTGATAGTTGCTACGGAAATTTTGCGGAAATAGACAAAAATACTACTGAAATTTATGATAGGACTAGAACTGCAGTTCGGAACAAATTACTTTTTCATCATGTTCTTTGGTTACATATTTCTAGATAAATAAATAAAATGAATAAATTAATTAAATTAAATAAATGAAAGAAAGATGAAATAAGTAAATTAATTAAATAAAAAAATATTTATTTATTGATTAAATATTTATTAAAATTAAATATTTATTAATTAAATATTAATTAATTAATCAATTAATTAATTAAATTATTGTGAAAACTAAGGAAAAGTGACCGTAAATCTTCATCCTGTCTCGTTTCTTAGAAATTCCAAAGATGTTATTATACTGTACCAGTAATTTAAGCAACCCATATTTTGCACTCAAGACAAATTTAGGAATTTTGCATTTTCTACAAATACTTGAAGACTTGGTTATGGAAATGCATTTTAATAACTTGGAAAAGTCTGAGAACATTTATTATTCAGAATACTATCCCTAATATCATTAGTAAATCATCTTAATGGATTTTCTTTTTGATCAAATTTTCTCCCTCACTGCATGATGTTTTAACTGACAACTTAAAAAGTCATAAAAGATAAGTAAAAGGAATTGAAATGAAACGACTGGATAGAATGGAAAAAGGTAAAGAAAGTGGAAACAAAAAAAAAAGAAAAAGAAAGAGGCAAAGAAAAGCAAAGGACAAGTTATGAAAAATTAAATAATATAGTATAAGAAAGGAAAGAATATAAAGAAACATAAGAAAGGAAAGGAAAGGCAAATACTAAAAACATATGAAATGTCCTAAGAAAAAGAAAGGGAATAATTATATGAAAGGAAAGATAAAGAAAAGATAAGAACAGAAGAAATAAGAAAGAAAAAGGAAAGAAAAGAATGAAACATAAAGAAAAGGAAAGGATATTCAAGGACCCCTATGAAAGGGTGTAAGAAAAAATAGAAAGAAAGAATGAAAGAAAAGAAAAGAAAAAAGAAAAGTCAATATAAGAAAGGAAAAAAAAGAATGAAAAGAACGAATCATAAGAAAGAAAATGAAAGGATAATCAAGAAATAATGCCTAAGGAGGTATTAGAAAGAAAGCAGAAAGGAAAGAAAAGGAAATTATAAGGAAAAAGGAAGACGAAAGAAAGAAAAGGTAGGTAAATAGGAATCACATAAAGTTAAGGAAGCACAGAATGATAGTGAAAGAGAAGATAAGTAATTAGACGGTTAGCTAATATTAAAATAGAAAACAAAAACAAGGAACGTGAAAGTGAAATATAAGGTCAGCTAACATTCTGAGATGGTAAGTTTTCTTTCCTTCTTATTTGCATTATTATTATTATTTTTATTATTACTTTTTTTTCCCTTTGACATAGACACATTAAATTGAAGAGAAAAATGTTTTGTGTCATTATAATTTTCAGCTGAAAGCCAAACACACTGAAAGGCACAAAAGTAACACTTTGAAGTTGTCATTCCTGAAGTACAAATGTTTTGATAGTGTATTACCGTATTTAACATACCGTAATATAGAGTACTTTGTAATCCAGTGGAATAGGTGCTAACAAATGCGTTAC